GCAGCAATTCTTTTATATGTAAAACAGTTTTCTGTTTTACATGCTATAGAAATATCCGTGAATATTGAAAAGGTGTCTAGTCTGACTTGACCAAAACATTATCAAGTCAAGGAAACCTTTAATTTCCAGACTTAGACATATTATAATTTTTAGTGCAAGGAGGACCACCTGGCTACCTTGGGCAGTCTTTCTGCTTTGTAAAAATAACCTTAGTTCAGAGATTGGTGAGTTTTTGCAATCATTAAAAAACTGTAAATCCTAGTTTTTCTACAGGGTGTCTGAAATACAGCATTGACTGTGTTACACCCTGGCACCTTGCTGTACTTGGAATTCTGGCTATAGCTAAAATACACCGTTGTCTGCCAAGACCTGGAGGCAGGACTAAGTGTTCTGAACGTGTGAAGATACCCAGAAAACTCCTTGTTTTAAGCAGCCAGTTCTTGCAGGCAACAGGAATACGCTGCTCCAATAGTAAGACAAATCTAGATAGGGACACGGTAAATGGGCGAGCCCTTTAGTGTATGTTCTCAATAGCTCTGTGGATCATAATGTGATGTTAAAGATGAGGAAATTAATAAAATCAAGAGCACTGAATTCAAACTTTTGCTGAATCGAACTTCTGACTAGCCATCTTGTTGATAAGCCAGCTGGATACTGGAATGAAGAAAACAGTGATCCAAGAAGTGCTGTTGTGCTAAGATTTACGTTGTCTGTTTGGCATGGGAAATCTTGGGTATTTCTTAATCACCAGTCTCCGTTCTGTTGACTCTCCTTACCAATTGAAGCCTGAAATATGAGGGGATTAGTATGCTGGGTTTGCATTGTCACAGAGCTGCAAAGTTACTTCTGATTCTGAACTCCCAGGGACCGGGGCTGTGCGCTTGGCTCAGTTTATTGCCTTGCCACTGGTTTGTGCAATACTGTCAAGTGAACATTGTCTCTCCTTTAAATTGAGGATGATTGATTGTTTGCATGGTGGACTTGATTAGAGAATGGTGGGCTTCTGAACAGAGCCATGATGCACTGTGGGCCTGTGACTCTTAAATTTTTTTCTGTTGTCTGTTCTTTTGTTGACTATAGGGTGGATAGTATTACTTCAGTTCCTGTTACATCATTCCTGGCTCATGGATGTCAGACTGACTTTCATTAATGAGAGAATATGGAAGATAGAATAGCAAGTCCCAGTCCTGGATGTAGCTTATCACTCACGTAGTTATACACGTTTCCTCTGCGTTTTGTTTCCATTTTCCCTATAAAATAGGGGTGGTAATACTACAGAATAGTCATACTCTGCAAAGACTAATGCATAGAGTATTGAGCAGTAGGACTGTGCAAAAAACCTGTGTAGTATGTGTTTGTTGCAGTCCTTGTTTGTTAGTATGCTTTGTGTATTGATGATTTTGAGACAGAAGAAATTATTGAGGTTCACAAACAGCACTGAAAAAATCTGAACTGTGAACATCTGATCCCAAACAATGGTGCCTGCCCAGAGTTGTGGAGAACAAGAACTGAGTGAATGAACTTCGCAATTGAAGACATTTTTGTAGGCCTGATAATTTACAGGCACATAAGATAGGGTGGGATGGACAGGATTCCATGTGGTGTTACAAATTATTGGAGCTGTGCAGCCTTACTGTGTGTGCTATTTTTGATATTTTGTTGTCGGTGTTCACAGTATGTGCTCATGCACTGTTTGGTGTAGTGCAGTTCTGGTCTGTATTGTGCGTCATGGTGAGGTGTTAGAAATCCTCAGAAAGCCATACTAGGATCTTTGTGATTTGCTTCCGTATACAAGAGAAATGAGAAACGTTTTTAAAAATGTATTTACTTTCATGAAAAGCTTCCTAAAAGTATAATTTTTTTAAAAAAAGGAGAAAAAGCTCTGCTGGCAAAATGACAGAATGCATTTAAGATTTCTTATCTCTTGGGACTTTGTTCAGCTGATGTCATACTGGGAAGTTTTAACAAATGCAGGCTAACTAGAATTGTAGTTAACAGGAAGGTCTGATGCATTGAACTAATGGTTTAGGCAGTGGCTTAGAGACTTTTGCAGACTTGAGCTCTCTATGATGCAGACTGACTCTCGACTAAAAATTGCATACTATACCTGTGTTTTCTAAAGATATCTTTTGTTAAGAATGTTTGGAAAAATTACCTTTTTCATGTAGAAGTTGAGATATGCCAATAATCAGTGTAACTGTCTGATCTCTGAAGCTGAAGATATTATAGAAACGGAATACCAAATACTGAAGTGTAAGACTTCTGGTTTGAAAAAGCTTTGCTTGATTAAATTTTCCTTATTTGTGTTATTGATAATGATAACTTATGTTGAGTGTTAAATATGTCAAATTTTTTCTTTCTTCCAGATGAAATAAAAACGGAGCTGGAGAAGCAAAGGTAAATTAATTGCTGTAAAGTGTGGCAGAAAACAGCAAGTGGAATAATTTGATAGCAGAAATGTAAGAGCATATACACATCACAGCAATGAATTTGTGAATACCCAGTTATACGCCTTTCTGCCAAAAACGTGATATAGCCCATGTGTTCCAATTACAGAATGTTTGTGGGTATGGGTACTCAAGCCATAATTGCTTCTGAATTTCACTATGAAAAAATTGCAAAACTTCTGAAACGTGCTAGTTTTTCACTTCCTTTTACTGGGCTTAATATAGCTTGATAGGAAATCATAAAGAGCAGTAGGCTTCATCTGTTTTATAGTATATGCTCTTAGCTACCTAGATCAAGAATACCAATCTAAATCCAAATTTTAAAACACTTTTCCAGCAGTGTGCTGTAATTTAAAATGAGCCCCAAATATGTTTCTGTTTGCTTGGTGTTCCTCATATGGGCCCTGTTCAGTTAACTTGAATAACTTAGATTTATCATCTAAGTTGTGTAAAAGTACCCCAGAACAGTGTTGGAGTGTAGTGAAGGAAGAGTTAAGTTGAAGAATATGTGAAAGACCAGATAAAATACTGATTTTTTAAAGAAAATTGAACTTTCTTTAAGAAAGTATGTGTGAGAGAGATTTGCATTACATTTGTATGCTGCTATGTAGCATTCAGCTTTAAATTTAGAAAAGGGGGAAGTGTAGTTTGCTGTGACATACATTTTAGAAAAATTAATAACTCTTTTTATGTGACCTAGAGAAGGCACCGCTGCTCCACCAAAAGCAAACTTCATTGAAGCAGATAAATATTTCCTTCCATTTGAACTGGCCTGCCAGTCAAAGTCTCCACGCATTGTTAGTACTTCACTGGATTGTTTACAGGTAACTCTTCTGTTTGATCTTGGACAGAGTGAAATGGAGAAACATGTGATTACAAAATCTTTTGTGCTGTTTCCATCCTTAAAGTCAAGAAATAATACTGTCCTGAGTGCACAGAGCTGTGAAGATGCTCACTATGGCTACCTAGGCACGTAAACCATGTGTAATAGCTTATTGTTGGACTTGGCTGAAAGTGCATCTTGTCAAAGCCAGAAATATATGTGTGTGTGTGTTTTATAGTGAAGCAAGCCTTTATTGAAGCTCATGAATGCTTACATTATTCAGTAAAGATGCTTCATCTGCGGTGCTCTAAAAGGAGCATTTACCATGGTGTTTCTTGTAGGGCTGATGTGATGGGAGGTCAGACTCTGGAATCTTTCTACCTTGTTCCATCTTAGATTCTTACAGAAAAAATGAATGCAATTTGAGGGCAGAACCTTTCTGTTGTGAATAGGTACAAAAATTGATGTTAAAAAATTTTGTCTGATTACAGTAAGGAGAAGTAATCTGTGTGGAAAAAGCTTATGTATCCACTGACTAAATCTGTTTTATTTAGATGTGCAAACAGTCCAAGTGTTTGGTAGCCAGACTATTGATGGTGTTAAATTTTTGTGTTAAAACTGGTTAAGTGAGGTATGCTGTCTAAACCCCTCTTTTTATGACACTTAACTGTGTTTTAGTTAACAGTATATGGCTGTCTAACCTGCAGTCTTTCTACCTAGAAACTCATTGCATATGGACATATCACTGGCAATGCTCCAGACAGTGGAGCTCCTGGAAAACGACTGATTGATCGAATAGTTGAAACCATTTGCAACTGTTTTCAGGGTCCTCAAACAGACGAAGGAGTACAACTGCAGATAATTAAGGTATTTTATTTGGTTTGTTTTGGTGCCATATTAATTTGCTTTCTCTGTCTTTGATTTTGTAAGTGAAAAAAATTTCTTACACTGTTAGATGTGTTGTTGAATTTCGGGAGGTTGTCATAAGGTCAGGCTTGGTATGTTAAATGTATTTCTCCTTGGTCAAGCAGAACATAAGGCAGTTCTTTGTAAGTGTCATTCTCTCTGGGATGAACCATGGCCTGGATACTTTATCTTGCAGGCAGCGTGATGTTCATCATCTAGGCTCAGTAATGCCCACATTCATTAGGCCAGTGAATTGCTGTCAGCCTTCAACTGAAAGCACTGTCACTGGGATGCAGTCTCATGGCCTGCTGCTCTAGCCTGTCTGCTCTCATGTCCATTTTTGCAGACACTTGCAGTATATGTTCTCAGATATAGTAGTATCAGTGCTGTGTGTTCTGGTTCTGAAATCTACTTGGGCTAATGTAGCTGAGGTTAGAAGTTGGTAAACCTAATAATTTAGTTTGACAGCGTAGACCAATTGGCCCTTTCACAGAAATTAGCCACAGAATGTAACAACTGTTTTGTTTGGAGGTGGAATATCTCCTTTAGTGGAAAGCTAGTTGTGATAAAACCCTTTAACAGCTCAGGAGAGAACAGAGATATGTGGAAGTTCTGTTAAACTGTCTTTGATTTGAAATGTCATTTCAGAGAACTAGAAGTTCTTTACAAAGTCTTACAGATATATGTGTTTCATAACAGACCCACTGGTTATTATGGAAGACCTGCATGAAGTGTATTGTTGCCTGCTTGCTTAGATTTAATTTTTACTGTGTTATGGACTTTTTCAGGCACTCCTCACTGCAGTAACATCTCCGTATATAGAAATTCATGAAGGAACAATTCTTCAGACTGTTAGAACCTGTTACAACATTTATCTGGCCAGTAAAAATCTTATTAATCAGACAACTGCCAAAGCTACCCTTACACAGATGTTAAATGTCATTTTTACACGGATGGAAAATCAAGCTGTATGTAACTATTACTTTTGCTCATCTCCAATGTTTAGGCTTGACAAATGAATAGAAAACTTTTTATTATTATTTTGAATGGGTCTGTCGTTGTAGTTGAATGTCTATTGATTAGTAATTTTAAAAAAAACCTCTCAAGTCTTGCACTGAAGCATACTGACTGATTAAAAATATCAAGCTTATTGCTGGTAACACAGTAGGTTTTCACACTATTTTCTGCCAAATGGCTTTCTATAAACAAATGATGGGATACTTTTAAAATAAGATTGAAGAGTATCTTTTTAATTTGACAGGTCAAGTGATGTTATTATCAATGTTCCTTCCTTGATAACACTTGAATTTGCAAAGGAACATCGGTCATCATAGACATGTGTTTTCCCTTATCATGTTTTATGCCTTAGATTAACTTTTACACATTGGTTTTTCAAGGTACAAGAATCCAGAGAAGTAGAAAAAGCAAATCAGCAAAAATCCCAGTCGCCTGCAATTCAAGTGGTGTCCAAGTCTCCGAAGATTGGCCAGTTAAAACACAGCTATCAGGAGGGCAAACCCACTGCTCCTCTCAGTGCAGAATTAACTAACGGTGAGCCTGAGAGGGCAGAAAATGGAGACGTGAAGTTGGAGCAGGATCTGGCTCTTCCAGCATCAGGTGAACAAGAATAGGTTGTGTCTGTTGCTTTTAGTTACAGTCTTCCTATCTGAAAATGCTCTTTTAGGCTATTTTGTGCAGAAGTGATGGGGGTTGTTGGCTCAAATCACACTCAGGTTTTCTCAGTGGTTATTTCGAGTATACAGGCCATCCTTAATTTGTCTACAACATTATAACCATTGAAGAAAGGCTCTTGTTTTCTCTAGAGTTCTCATACAACTATATATAGTTTATGTATATAGAATTATAATGGAAATTGACTTGATTAGGTTGATAAAGGGGAGGGAAAGGAAGAGAATAATCATAGTATGTAGGAAGTGACAGAATCACTTTGAGGTAATTGAAGTCTTGTGATAAAAATAATGTGTATTATGAAGAACTTATCATAACCATATATTGAATCCAAATTAGAAACATAGGATATTCCAAAATGAGAAGTTCGTAACAGTTGATAAATACAAGTGACAAAATTGCTGCATTAAAAATATCAGTGCTTTGTCTTAAACAGTGGAAATAACATCAATGAGTATTTTTGTATGACTTTTTGGAAGTGGCTTTAGAGGAGAACTTTTAGAGAAAATCTGTAATTTTTAACCCTTCTGTCTCTTGTCATGCTTCTCCTTTCTACCTTCTTCCTACATAAAAGTACTAAATTCAAAATTAATCTCTGTTTCATTAGAGGAAACAACTGATGGAGGAAAGGAAATGGTTAAAGGCATCTTGGAAGATGTGGTCAAGTCAGCTGTAAAAGGTAGCAAAATTTTCTGAAGTAAAATAGATGTTTGTGTATTGCCAAACTTTTATTCCTGTGATTATAAAAGCATGGAAGTTATTTTTTTGTGACTAAGTATCTTGTCAAGAACACCTACTATGGCAACAAAACCAGGTTGTTATTGTCTCACACTATTCTTTTGCAGGTAGGTGAGAAGCTCTAGTTTATCAGTGCTGCTTCTGTCCCACTTGGTTGTAGAACTTCACAAAGTCATGGGATAAAAAAAGCTCTGTGGGTGATCTTAATTTTCCTTTTTCCCCTTTAGTGGCTGAAGAAAAGCAGGTAACAGAAACAGTTAAGGCTCTACCTGCTTTAGAGACTGCAGATACTGTTCTTTCTGGCTCTAGTAATGAAAACATACAAACGAACGGGATTCCAGATGATGGACAATCTGTTTCGTCCACTGATAATCTGGTAAATAACTTCACTGGATGCTAATGTATATTTAGGAAAGGAGAAATGTTTTTATCATGCCAGGTAATACAGTGGGATTTTGGGGAGGGAAGGGACAGAAGCTTTAATGTATGCGTCCTGCTCATGTTCAGAAAGGAAGCAGCAAGTGCAATTTAAGTAGATACTGAAAACAACTGTTCTAAAATTGATTATGTTGTATTTTAACACAGGGTGGGGGTGGAGGGGAAGGGTCGGTCAACATGTGTGAAAAGATCCAGATCACTTGTCCTGTTCAGGTTTAGTTTAAATTTTGGCAAATGTACCCTTTTTAAAAAATCTGTAGCTAATTCTCGGAGAAGCTGTCGATTCTTCCTAATTGCTCTGTTCATTTGTCTCACTGAGGATCTAATGTGTTCTTGTTCTCAAGGAAACAGATGTATCTGGACACCAAGCTGCTGCCAAATTTTCCCATGTTCTACAAAAGGATGCCTTCCTTGTGTTCAGGTCGTTGTGCAAGCTCTCAATGAAACCACTTGGTGATGGACCACCAGATCCCAAGTAATCAGACTGTATTTATTACACTGTCCTCTTCAGGTAGCTTTTGGAGACAGTTAAGTAGCTGCTGTATAGTAAAACAGGTATTCAGAATTCATCTGTCAGGCCCTTGTTTAGCTCATCCAGTTCTCTTGATGAATCTAGGATTGAAACTTGCTTCAGTTTATTAAACAGTTACACTTGAGGGTTGTTTTCTGTGTTATGGGCCTTCTTATCAGCTGAAGTGGCCTTGACGATAGTATTTGTGAAGTTTTTGATAGGGGAGTGGGGGAATGCTTCTTGGTAGCACTGAGTTTCATCTGTTATCCTAGTCTAACATGTTCATACTCCTGGAAAAACCTCCAAATTAAAATTATAGATGTTGTCCAAAATCTCTCACAGGCTGATTTCCACCCCTCCTGCCCCCTGCCCTGAAGCAAACTAAAAGAGCAGTCATTTCTTCTTGACATGGAAGAAATGTTGTAGTGGTCGTGTTGAATCCAAGTGTGTATTCAGAAATACGATGAAAATGTATTTAATGTTGGATTTCTTCTAGATCCCATGAATTGCGTTCTAAGATAGTGTCTCTCCAGCTTCTTCTCTCGGTACTGCAGAATGCTGGTCCAGTTTTCAGGACACATGAAATGTTCATCAATGCAATCAAGCAATATCTTTGTGTAGCATTATCTAAAAATGGAGTCTCTTCTGTTCCTGATGTATTTGAGCTCTCTCTTGCCATCTTTCTCACGCTGCTTTCAAATTTTAAGACCCATCTAAAAATGCAGATTGAGGTGAGAGACTTTTATCTATCATTTATATGATGCTCTAGTTCTCAAATAAAAATACTGCAATGATAAGAAGCCAACTGGGACTTAGAAGTTAATATCTTAGTTTTGATTGCTTACTAAACTAGCATATTACTACTGTATTTAAATTCTAATATGCATGAGATAATACTCTTCAAGAAAAATTACTGAATATAAATTAATCTGCGTGTTTGACACAGTTCTAATAAATTTCAGATTGTCAAGTCCTCTATCTCATCTATTTTGCAGGTGTTCTTCAAAGAAATCTTCCTGAATATTCTAGAAACTTCTTCAAGCTCCTTTGAACACAAATGGATGGTGATTCAGACTTTAACTAGAATTTGTGCAGGTATTTCCATTGTTGTGAAAAGTAGTCACTTCCTCTGGCAGCAGATGAAAATTATTTTGAAGACAAATGCCACGTATATTGTTTAAATGTGAAAAATTGAATTTGATCCTGTAGTGCATGTGTTAAATATCTGCATTAAGCCAATGTGCCTGCTGTAACTGGCTGACTTCTTTTAAAAATGCTAATATACTGAATCTTAATACTTGCACTTTCTTTTATTTTCAAGATGCCCAGTGTGTAGTGGATATTTATGTTAACTATGACTGTGACTTAAATGCTGCTAATATATTTGAACGCCTTGTAAATGATTTGTCCAAAATCGCACAGGGACGAAGTGGGCATGAGTTGGGAATGACACCTTTACAGGTAAGAAAAACAGCTTTGAAGATAAGGTACAATTTTTATTTTTTATTTCATAAACGGTGCTGTTTCTGCATGATTATTGACACTTCCAGTGGTTTCTGTGGTCTGTAACCTACTGATGTTACTTTCTATCAATTAGCTAGTTTGCAATTGGATGCTGAAGCAGTACAATTAATTTACTTGGTGATTTTCTTGCATATTTGCATTGTGAGATTAGGCTTGTGGTGGGTTCTTTTGTTGGGCTGCCATGGGAGAGAGAATCACATGAGCCTTCCACTGCCTTGCTCAAATGACTTTCCTTCTGGGACTTATGAACCAGCAGTACCTTCATCTTGTGTTTGCTTTTCACAAGGTCTTGTGCCATATCTCCAGCATAAGTATTTTATTTTTAAAGTTATACTTTCCTCATCTTTCAAGGGAGAGTGGAGTACAGACTGCTTTCAGCAAGAACAGATATTTCTGGTGTTGGCTGTGTCCTACAGCAGTTTTTCTAGCCCAGCCTAGTGGCTTTAAGGGTGGAGGTGAACTTGGTGCCAGCATTGGTCTCAGAACTAAGTGCGTCTCACACTTTCAATTAGAATTGTATATATGCTTGCACTTTTTAAAAAAATTTTTATTTATTTACTTCCCCCCCCGCCCCCCTCCCCGTGGTCCTTTAACCAGTAAATGAAAGTAAAAGCCAGGACATATTTGTCTGAGATTTTGAATAGAACTGTTTATTGTACAGTTGAGATAGTGACACACTGGTCTTGCTTGTGGAGAGATCTGACACTGTAGAGATTCAGCGGATGGTCACAATAATTCATACAACAAAGGGCCTGCTTTTAGGATTTGGTGTGTGTTGCCCCTTGGTTGTACTCATCAGCTGTGAATAGACCATCTGCTTAAAGCAGCTGGAGTGTGTTCTGGTGTCAGTCTACTTATGGTTGCTTTTGGCCCAGATGTGTTCAGCCTTAATAGTTAAGGGGCAGAAACTCTGTATAATCAATAGGTTTCCCCTGACTGATGACCTTGTGAAGATTTGAATGGTGTGATGTAATGCCTTCTAGAAACTTGTGGATGTACATATATTGGTTTGTGTTTTTTCATTTTGGTGTTTGTTTTTTGTTTTTTGTTTTTTTTAGGAATTAAGCCTGAGGAAAAAAGGACTTGAATGTTTGGTTTCTATTTTAAAATGTATGGTAGAGTGGAGCAAAGACCTTTATGTGAACCCCAATCATCAGGCTAGCTTGGGTAAGGTGGTTTCCTTACAGAAAGACTAATTTGTTTAATAAGTTTGTCCTCATGCTTTTTCAGTGTTTAGAAGCTATTTGGAAGTGTGGATGCTAGGCTTTTACCTAATTATTTGTTTACACCAATGAAGTATTTTGCAAACAATTGTTAATGCTGTTGCAGTAATGGACTCTGTGTGTCTGGTTCAAATAACCAGGTTCTGTTTAAGAGCTCTAGCCAGGCCATTTTCTACACTGTAAAAGCTGGCTTATGTAGAACCAGATGTGACAAATCTTGCAGTTACTAAGTTGAAGTGCAAGAATTTCTCCATAGCTGCTGCTGCTCTCTACCTTAGTTGGATTATTTTAGAATTGCATCAATATAGCATCTTCATGTAATGTAGACTGCCAAAAATTATACATGGTAAAACAGGAAGATTGACTCATTAATTTCTACTAAAAAGTTCTATAACTAAAAGCTTTTGACTGAACAAGATAATGTAAGTCTTGCCCTGTTCATAAATAGGTTCCTATAAACCATCTGAGCAAGAAATGGCTGAAGGTAAATGCCTTGAGAGTGGAGGGAGACGGAGTAGTGTCAGTTCCTTGGACTCCACTGTGTCGTCAGGAGTTGGAAGTGTTGGTACCCAGACTGCTGTCCCAGACGATCCTGAGCAATTTGAAGTCATCAAGCAACAAAAGGAAATAATTGAGCATGGGATAGAACTGTAAGTCCAGTATGTCAGGAAAATAAACATTCAGTAGTAAAAAAATCTGTGTACAACCATATTTCTTCTTAGGGTCTTACACAGTCAAACCTGTAGGGACACTTATAAATTGATCTCAGTGCTGAAGACTCTTGCCTTCTGTTGTCAAAAGCTAACGCTGGAGGCTATTGTAGTTAAAAGGCATTCAGTAAAGTCTTGGGTGGAGTGGAGGGTGGTTTCACAGATTTCTGTTGTGCTGGTTCAGCCACATAAGAATGGAAAGTGTGTATACCTAGAGAGAAACTGATTTGAGCAAGCAGGCTTAATGTCTTACAGCTCTTACACCATTTGTGGTCTTTTATTGAAATACAGTTTCAATAGATTTTCAATTCAATTGAAATTGAATTCAATCATTGTCCAGCTATGCTTTACATTGTTTTCATTAATTTGAAGGTCTTCATGTCTGTAAACGCTATGAAAAGGTCTTGAACAGCAACATTTTTAACACTTCATGGAAATTCTCTATTTTTTTATTATTTCCAAAGGGTCAGTTTTTAAGTGAGTTTTCCAGCAATAATTTCTAAGGTTATCAGCAACTGAATGTACCTTATGAGATGTAGCCTATGGTGCAATACAGTTAATACATTTATTACCTGTTCTTTGACACTCTTCTAACTAGAAAAAAAAACAGAGCTACATCACAGAATCTTTGGTTTAGAAGGGCTCTGTAAAACTAAAACTTTATAGGCTGTGATACTTTTCAGTTGTATGTCTTAATTTCCCCATGTCTTTGTCCGAACAGGTTTAATAAAAAACCAAAGAGAGGGATACAGTATCTACAGGAGCAGGGAATGCTTGGTACTACAGCAGAGGACATTGCACAATTTTTGCACCAAGAAGAACGCCTCTGTTCTGTAAGACTATGTGCAGCCTAAGATAACTTATACTCTTGTACCCATCTTTTTCCCCTGTCTTTTGACATCTACATGCACCTACTCTTTAGCTCATATTTCATTAATAGGCAACTGAAAGTGTAAGGGTTCTAATGAAGGTTCTTAATACCAATGCTAACTTCTATTTATTTGCTGTCCCAGGCTTTTTAGTAAAGTAGCTGAAGGCATTCCCCAGAAGTGGGAGCATGTGTTTTATCTATATCCGCATGAGCAGTAGGTATCTTGCCAGCAAAGAAATATCATGTACTGCAGTGGCAGAGCGTTCTCTGCTGCATGTGAGATTGGGCACAGCTCAGCTTTCTTTGGCTCCTCTGTAATTCAGGTCTTGCCTTGGGGATTGAGGGAAGCAAGAATATGCAGAGTAAAGGCACTTTGAATGACACTGGTTTCTTGTCATTCCTCTAACGGTTGCTCTGCCCCCTCAGTGAAGCGTATCGGTCTTACAAAACTGACAGCTGTGCAATTCTCGTACTATAAACTTTCTTGCAAAGCTGGCAGTTGGATTACACAGTAATAACTGTCTTTTGTGTTTTTAGACTCAAGTAGGGGAATTTCTTGGGGAAAGCAACAAGTTTAACAAGGAAGTGATGTATGCCTATGTAGACCAGCTTGATTTCTGTGGAAAAGACTTTGTCTCTGCTCTGCGTATATTTCTGGAAGGTTTTCGTCTGCCAGGTGAAGCCCAGAAGATCGATAGATTAATGGAGAAGTTTGCTGCTAGATATATTGAATGCAACCAACGGTAATTCAAAACCATTGTACTGGATAAGTGCCTGAAGAATGGCTGTATTGGTTGTGACTCTCGGGGGCAAGGTGCAACTCGTACTCATACTGGGTCAGGAACTTCTACAGGCTTGTGGTGCAGAGCAGGTCTTGTTGGTGCTGAACCTCTTCAAGCAGCTAGACAAAATGGAAACTTTTGGCTAGAAAGTATCCTGATGCTGGTATTTCATGAAATTCCAAATACTTGCTAGAAGGAATTATTGGAAGAGGAAAGCCCTAAGCATGTTAAATTGTCTCTGTATTAGCTGTTCTGTCTTTAAACAAAAGTAGATCGGTCAAGTGTAAACAACAGTATTAAGCAGTAGCAATTGCCAAAATTAAAAATACATGATATAAATAGCTAATAAGATGTTGCACCTGGTTTTGCCCATTAAATGTTGAACAAAATGTATGTATATTGGGGGACAGCAAGTAGGAAGTGTTGCTGTTGTATCTAATGCAATAAACTAGCATTGAAGTTCAGCTGTGTGTTCAGGCTTAACTGGTTCCTATTACTTAGTCCAGTTGGTGCATCACTGGTTTTATATAATTCTTTATGAAGCCTTGGGAGTGAAAAATAACATGTTCTTTAGCTTTTGTAGGATTACCCGAAGAAGGATAATGTATAATCTTTTGGGAATGTATATGAAAATTCCAGTCATTGCTGGTTTTCAACGTTGTGAAGAAGATGCTTTTGTATTTTTTTCCCCATTTTATTTGCATTTTAAAACACTTCGGGCCTTCATGCGTTTCTAAAGGCTAATTTTAGGCTCTGTTAGCTCTTTGGTTGAATGCATAGCACTTCTGGGTATTTTTCTTGCATGTAGAAATAGAGCTAATGGATTGAGGAATTAAGACTCTAAATCTGTTGGGGTTTTTTCCTCCCTTAGGCAAACACTATTTGCTAGTGCTGACACTGCCTATGTTTTGGCATACTCTATTATAATGCTGACTACAGACTTGCACAGTCCACAGGTAAAAATTTAAAAAAACCCATATTTGTAGAAGTTCAAATTTCCCTGGAACTTGCATTCAAAATCTGACACCCAACTTCCATTTTTTTTTACAGGTGAAAAATAAAATGACAAAGGATCAATACATTAAAATGAATCGGGGAATCAATGATAGTAAAGACCTGCCAGTAGAGTATTTATCCACCATCTATGAAGAAATAGAAGGAAAGAAAATTGCAATGAAAGAGACAAAAGAATACGCAATTACAACCAAATGTAGTAAACCAAGTAAGAAGGAACTAGAAACTGCAAAGACCCCAGTGCTCTTCAACTATTGCAGTAACTTTTGGGATAGCGTAGTGGAGTTCAGATCCCTTTTTTAAAACATCTTTGCGCCATACTGAAATTACTTTTAGAGTGGCAAATATAGATATTTGGAATTAAATTGGCTCAGTTATGTAATACTGCTACTTCTGTGATGGGCACACAGCTGTGTAAGTGCATCTGGCACCATTGCAGGGAGGCATGGGAAACTGGATTGGGGGTGTTTTTTGAAACAGAAGCCTAGAGGGAAAACAGTAGAATAACTGAAGGTGGCACTTAATTTGCAAGTTATCTTCATGTTTTCACATGCTTGTCTTGGATAGGGAGACAAAAAACCCAATCAGTAGCGTGTCGTAGGTTAGAGGCTGGTAAGTGCCACAGTCCTCCTGATAATGTTTGAAAAAGATAAATCGGAGTTTGATATGATCGATAGTGTTCTGTCCTCATCTAGACCAAATGAGCACTTGTGTGTGTAGTGTGCATTAGAAACCAGCATCCCCAGCTGTACTCTGCTTTTATTCAGGATAGCTGGTATTAATTTAATTCAATTTAGTGAATTCTGAATCTTCAGCACAGTGGTTTTTCAGTGTTTTCCGTGCTATTTGTAAGTTTCCTAGGTCAAAATAGGAATGAAGTTGACTTGCTTGAAAACTGAAGTTGCAGCCTTTAGTATAAGGATAAAGAAACACTATGTTATGGATCAAGTTGGTAAGGGCTAGTTTTGTTTTGATGATGTCAGCCTAAGAAGATGAAGGATTTTTCATCCATTTTTGCAGGCAGAGTGACTTAATCATTGGAAGCCAGAGAAGCATACTCTATTAAGTCATTACATGTGACAAAGGGCTGAATTAGTTATTTTGTACAGAATAAAGTCTTAAGTTGGGGTGTGGGTTTTAGTGCTGGAGTTCCTTGCTTGCAACCTTTGACAACCTTTCTGAATTCTAACAGTCTGAAAGATTTTTATCTTTAGATTTATTTTAGAATCATAGAATGGTTGGAAGGGGCCTTAAAGGTCATCTAGTTCCAACCCACCTGCCATGAGCAGGGACATTTAATTTGCCAATACCTTTATTTAACATTCTGTTATGCTCACTGCGAAGATGTGGAATATGCTTTTATAAAAAAGAAACCAGTGCAACTGTGTGGTGTTCCCCTTAGATGTAGCTAATGAGAAGCAGCGGAGGTTGTTGTACAACTTGGAGATGGAACAAATGGCTAAAACAGCTAAAGCCCTCATGGAGGCAGTAAGCCACGCAAAGGCTCCTTTTACTAGTGCCACTCATCTGGATCATGTCAGACCCATGTTCAAAGTGAGTATGGAGTTCTTTTTGTCTCTTGCTAAGAATTTTAAGCATAGGAAGAAAGTAGAAAATTACTTTGAAGAGTTAAGTAATGCAGCAGCTGGACTCTTTAGGTATATTTGGGTTTGGTTACCTAGTGTTTTGAGCTAAAATATGAATAGACTTCTGAACTTAATTTCTTCCTTTTCTTAGCTTGTATGGACTCCACTGCTGGCAGCTTACAGTGTTGGCTTGCAGAACTGTGATGACACAGAAGTTGCATCCCTTTGTTTGGAAGGAATACGATGTGCAATTAGAATAGCCTGTATCTTTGGAATGCAGGTTTGTATAAGACTTAGTATGGAACTTCCTAAGGGCAGTGTAGGCTCTGAGAGGGAGATGAAGAATTACAAGGAACTTATACCTAGCATAGAAAATCAAGTGTCTCATCTACTTTCCTGAAATCATAAAATAAAATATTGTCATCCTGTTTTAGTTTGACAAGATCAAGATCTTAAAACAAGCTTTTCTTCAACTCTGCTTTCCTTTTATCACTGAGTCTTCTATTAAAAGCATTTGCTAACTTACCTCCTACTCTCCTTCAGATGGAAAGTGCTCTGATAGTGCCAGCTATACATAGAAGGATAATTGTGTAGGCATGCTGGGCAAGTAGCTTTCTCTAGCTCTTTGGGGACTTGATTACAATACTTGTTTCTCTGTCTTGTAGCTTGAACGAGATGCTTATGTACAGGCCCTTGCTCGTTTTTCCTTGTTGACTGCCAGTTCCAGTATTACAGAAATGAAACAGAAGAACATAGATACTATTAAGACACTTATTACCGTCGCTCACACAGATGGCAACTATCTTGGGAACTCTTGGCATGAGGTAAAAACATTATTAGTTTAAGTAGTGAAACTGTGCTCTCCTCTGACAACTTGCAGGATGTTGTTCTTCTACTTTCAGTCTTAATAACCTCATTCTATCCCAACATGTGTCAGAACCTTCTTCAAAATGTGGATGCAAATTCATTATTTTGTTAGCATTTCTTATATGTATGTATGAATATATATAAAATAATGCACTGCATTTTTTGGCAGACCCTATAGACACTGTGTGACCAATACTGTAATTTTTATAGGTGCTTTTGAGATGGAATTAAAACCATATTAAAATCTCATTTGACTCATTTGACATAGAAATCAGCACAGAAACTATGGCGTTTGTGTTCACTTAAACAAAAATATTCTAGCTCAAAGGTCAAGACTTGTCTGTGCGGTGTTTGGCAACATTTATACCATGATCATGAAAAATTGAGGCTAAAATAACTTGGGGGGGATAAATAAGTACAGGCTATTGGGATCATATGTATTTTCTTAAAGCATATTTTCCAGAAGCTCTTTAATCAGATCTAAATCTTTGATGCTGCTGAAAGGGGCATTCCTGCTGTATTATGTTCTTTGGCAATAATCTTCGGCTACGTGATTACATGAGCCAGAAGTTTCTCTAGCTGACAAATTACTTGGGACCTGGCTTACTGCATACTCTCACAAATGCTTGTGCCAGTAGAAGGGATGCTTCAGAGAGGGAGTAAGAAGGAAGAGATAGTCAGTTTTGTGCTGACAGCAAGGCATGACTTTGGCATTTTCACTGTCTACATTGGAACATCATTACTCAAAGTGGTAGCTGCAATAATTCAGCCTTTTCATCTCTCTGGGACAATGAACTCTCTAGGAGATCAACTCCAAATTGTTTATGGTTTAGGAAGTTGATACTTTCATAAGTAATAAAAAGGTTTCCTCTAGTAGTTAAAGATGCAAGTTAGATTTTTGGGTGCTGTTTATTTTTTCTCATATTGGAATGATTCATGGCAGCTGGTGACCTTCAATGAATCACTCAACTTTATTTCCAGTTGTATTAGTAATGTTTTAGCTACATCAAAACTGTTAGCATTGTCAAAGTTGTTTTAAAGGTTAGAGAACCTGGGAAGGTATAAATATTAAATATAAATAAACTAGGAATAAAAATACAATGGTGTCCAGAAACACAATGTTTAAATATTTTTGGTTTCAGATTTTGAAATGTATTAGCCAGCTGGAACTAGCACAACTTATAGGAACTGGAGTGAAAACTCGGTATTTATCTGGCTCTGGGCGTGAAAGGGAAGGAAGCATTAAAGGCTATGCATCTGGAGGGGAAGAGTTTATGGGCCTGGGATTAGGTAAGACTGATAATCTTGGACTTCACAAAGATGCACATATAAATGAATTATGATGGCTAAGAAAGCTCGGTGTTATATTAAAATATATTTACTTGCTTCTGGGGAAGCTATGTTGGATTAATGGAACTTAAAAAATAGAACTGTATATTGTATTCATAATTACCAGATCTGTTTTTACTTTGTAACTGTGTTAAGATATTTAACAAAACTCCTCAAGATTTATTTGTTGGAATATGTTGTTGTCAAAACTGTTTTATGATACTTAGTCATGATTTTACCAGTGTTACCAGTTCTTTTTATGATCTGGTTTTAATAATAAAAACATAAGCTGTTTATCTTTAGGAGTTAATAGATGTTTCAATGATCTGATAATTGGTTTTCCAAAGGAATTTCTTACCTCTGCATGTTAGGTTGCTGTTACAGTTCCTATTCCTGCAGTATGTGGAAGAAACAAAACTTAGATTATAAACTGTAAACTAGAGGGACAAGACAAATTGCCTTAATCTCTGGAAAACCATCAGGAAACCTTTTAATTTGAAAAATACTCAGAAGTTGATGCTATACATGATGATGATGCTGAATATAACAGAATTGTGCCCGTCATTAACTACTTGTATCTGATTTAAAGTTCACATTTTAAAATAATGTTTTATAATTTCCTATGTTATTAACAGCATTAGATCATCTTAATTTAATAAACATGATGGTCAAAACACAGTGCCCTGAGGGAAAAGAAACATACTTCCTACTGGATGTTTAATTTTGTAATAATCTGGCATGGATCTGGCAAAGGTACCATCTGCTCCATATAAATTACAAGATAATTGGAAGCAGTAGTCACTTTTCTTTGTCTACTCCTATAAAGTTGGGGTAATACTAAGTCACGATTTCATGATGCTAACTGACTTTTTTCTAATGGCTTTTATTACAGGTAACCTCGTTGGCAGCGGAGCTGATAAACGGCATATGGCGAGCATTCAAGAGTCAGTGGGAGAGACCAGTTCACAGAGTGTGGTGGTAGCAGTAGACAGGTACTGAGAATATAATCTCTTTCTAGGGAAAGGGCGAGTTGAAGTTACCGACCATCCTCACTTTATAGATATAGGGGTCTATGTTCTTGAAGCCTGTTTCTTTTGTGAGAGATTCTGATACTTAGCTGTTTTGTCTGGACCCAATAAGTATATCTCTGTGGGCGTGTAATATTCACAAAAGTAAAACTGTCATTAAATAGCAGTGTATTGTGAGAAGGGGCACTGTGTATATGCATGTGTGTTTATGCTTTTTCTTTGGAGTAAGCCAGTGAAGACCAGAACTAGGTTGGTATTATTTAGCTATTTTTGTTTTATAAATCTGTCTGATAATTGACTGTCACTTACATATGTGGTCTGTGTATTTGGGTTTCTTTTTTTTTTTTTTTTAGCCTGAACAGGACAGGTAGAAACTAATAAATGTCCTTAGCCTATTAAATCATTCAATTTTCTTTGCTTTTGTGAACTTCAGTATTTCAGCATTTCTCTAATTGCTCTTCTTCAGCTCTTTATTCATTAGTCACTGCGTTCTTGTCTAAACCATTATGTTTCTCATGTGTCCTAAAATGTTGTTTAAGAGATGCTTCTAACATAAACCATGTGTTGGAAGGGGACTTTTTATAATTATTGAAACTATTGGGCAAGACTGTAGAATCATACATTCAAACTTGTAGTATTTATTGTAACATAAATATGTCTGTTACCATACCAAATCTAAAAGATTTGGGAATATTCTTCACTTATCAGTATTCTATATGAACTCAAGACTCTGAACAACTGAAGGGGAAGTGACAGTGGTGCATCCATAGTCTTTCTGCTATCTGTTTTGATGGCCACAGATTAATGTATTCTTGAACCATGTAAAGATCAGGCAGGTGGTTGGCATCCACTGAAGTCTTACAGCAAAACTTTATTCATGTCATTTTATTCTCCCTGTGAAATATAACATACTGTCACCCAAATGAGTGTTCTAGCACTACTTGCCCTGGATAAAATCGTGAGCCTGTGCCCATTTCCTGCCGTGGGGCAGGAGCATAATAGACTGACTTGCAACAGGGAAGAGAATGCTTAGACTAGAAGGACATGAACTGGTGTCAAGGAGCAAGGATAAAACACTTGCAGATTTCATAGCACAGAGGATTGTAAAGAGTATCTCCAGGAACGTGCTGACTTTTGCCTACAGCACTAAGATGTGATTGACTCTTCTGGATGTGCAACTAAAACTGCAACTCATTTATTTGTTTCATAGGATATTTACAGGATCAACCAGGCTGGATGGAAATGCAATAGGTATGTTTACTGACCATTTGGTGGGTTACAGGAACTCTTGCAGTGTAATATCCTGAACTTACAGTAGTGTGTTTCAATGTTCAGTTGACTTTGTCCGATGGCTGTGTGCTGTTTCCATGGATGAGCTGGCTTCTCCACACCATCCACGCATGTTCAGCCTGCAGAAGATAGTGGAGATTTCATATTACAACATGAATCGCATTAGGCTGCAGTGGTCAAGGATTTGGCATGTAATTGGAGATCACTTCAATAAGGTATTTCTTTTGTAACTTGGTTTTAAAAATACATGAATAGCAGGACTTCTTTAACCAGCTTTTTCCTTTTATGTTCTTAGTAGTGTAGATTGTGATATTTTAACAAAAAAAAAAATCCATTCAGGGATCCTGAAGGAAGCACCTATTTAAAAATCTGAAGTCTATAAATAGAAATGGAAATGTTTATGGGAATGATCTTTAATCACTTCATTATATAATTTTGTGTTTGTAGTTTTTCTTTACGTAATTGTCTTCTCTTTCTCATCAAATGCTAAATCAGTTTTCCTCTAAAATATATATGGATGATCCTTGAACAAATAAGTTATTTTCCTTAGGAAACTGGACAGTGTTTGCGTGGGGGTGTTATTTTAAAATAAGATTTTTGATTTTTTTTTTTTTTTTTTTTTTTTTTTTTTTTGTTTAGTTGGATCAAATGACCAAGAAAGGCCTCTCTGAAAGTAACTACTTTCTAGATATATGAAAATTGGAACATGCTAGCAATTTTTAGAGGATTGACATGAAACTTGAATGATGTTTTTGTTACTCGTATAAGAAATAACTTAGCTGTTAAGTGTTTGCAAATGTTTTTCTTCTAGGTTGGATGTAACCCTAATGAAGATGTTGCCATCTTTGCAGTAGATTCATTAAGGCAGCTGTCAATGAAATTTCTTGAGAAGGGAGAGTTAGCCAACTTCCGCTTTCAGAAAGACTTCCTAAGGCCTTTTGAGCATATTATGAAGAAAAACAGGTACGATGCTCTGCAATTTCTGTGATAGCTTTCTTTGTTGCTACTTAAAGATGTTACTTGGTGTGGGTTAGGTTGTTGTGTACTGGAAGTGACAGTTACATTGTGCCAGTGTAAAATTGTGCTACTTGTGAAAGCCTTACTTTTGTTTTGTTTTTAAGATCTCCAACTATTCGAGACATGGTAATACGCTGTATTGCTCAGATGGTGAACTCTCAAGCTGGTAATATTCGTTCAGGCTGGAAAAATATCTTTGCCGTCTTTCATCAGGCAGCATCAGATCATGATGGGAATATTGTGGAGCTGGCCTTTCAAACTACAGCACATATAGTTAGTAAGTAATGCTTGACAGATATGAGTATCCAAATTAGCTTAGCTGCTGTGATTCTGGTATAAAAGGCCCATCTGAATAACACTTTTGTATTTCCTCATAAATAAACACAAGACCTTACAGCCAGACTGTTTAAACTCTGCAGCTAGGTCGTAACCTGTTAAGTCTTCTGACTGCTATGGACAGGAAAAACTGTGTATAGATACCCTGCTATAGAGCTCTGGAAGTTTGGAATAGATTCCATAAGTTTGTATGTTGCCCCATGTGCCACAATAAGTTGTTGTGGATTAAGGAACCCATTTCATGAACTTCCATGCTGATTCAGTATCATATCATGGGGATTGTGAAGCTTGTGACACTATGTGACTGCTTGTAGAGTTTAGTTCATACAGCCTACCTGCTCTGAAACTATATTTGAACAACATACTGCTCTCACTTTCAAAGGAAGACAACCAGTTCACATGTTCTTGAAATGTATGTTCAATATTGGTCATAGGTTTCTTAATTGTCCTGAAACTATCCTCTTCCCATTAAGTAGCTTGGGGAAAAAGAGGTATGGATGGTGTTAATACATGCAAATAGTAACAAAACTTTTTTGTTAACTTGAATTGCATAGTACTTGGGAGTTGTAGTTTGTTCAGAAGCTTGTACACGTTGGATTTGTTTTGTATTTAGTCTGTCCCTTAAGTCTGAAATCTAACTACTTATTTCTCTCTTGCCACATAATGTGAATAATTACAGGCTTAGATAATCTAGGTGAATTCAGGTAGCTTCATTCACAGCAGGGAAGTCAACATCAAACTTTACTCATGTTATTTCTCAAAATCTAAGAGCGTTGGATTGCATATGCTGAGAGAGGAAACTGAACCATGTAAGAAGCCATGATGTTAAATTATAATATCGGTAGTTACCCAACCTGAGAAAATGTGATGCTGACAAAACTGGGTGGTGGGCTGGGATGGGGAAGAATGCAAGGGAATACAGAGAACCGTTTTTCATCTAGCAAGTCTAGTCCTCTCGTGTTTGTCCATTCAGTAGTGGTATACCGCGGCTGAGATACGTACGTCAATGCCAGGTTATCTATGGATTTCAGTATCAGTAAATTTTAAAAAGTGTGTTTGTTCTTTACAGCAAATATTTTTCAGCAGCACTTCCCAGCAGCAATTGACTCATTTCAGGATGCAGTAAAATGTCTTTCTGAGTTTGCCTGTAATGTTGCATTTCCGGACACCAGCATGGAAGCTATTAGACTTATTCGCTATTGTGCAAAATATGTTTCAGAAAGACCACAGGTATTTTCTTTTAATTTTTACCCTTGTGTGTTCTTAAGCTATCTTCTACTGTTAAACTGAGACTAATCATGTAACTAAGAAACAGTTTTCAGACTCAAACTTCAGTCTATCAGCAGCAAGTGCTTGTATTAAAAGCTTATTCAGAAGTAGGAGTCATTCTGGTATTGTGTAAGCAGTAAACTAGGACTAATTAAAAAATTTTAAGTCTCATCAGTCCAAATTGCAAATAACCAAATGAAATGTTCTTATTATTTTTTATAATGTTAGGATGACCTAGAAAACAATACTTCTTGTTCTGTCACCCTAATTATGTCTAGTTAAATTGGTTACCAAAACATGCATATTTTTCTACATCAGTCTGGTGTGTGAATATAATAACCACTTTGCTGAAAAAAGCCTGGAGTTAGATTCCAGCTGTGTGTTACCATTCCAAGAAGTGCATGCTGTATTCAGTATGTCAGAAAAGTGTAGAACTGGTTTATGCCAAACTTAGATTTCCTTGTTACCTATATTTATAAAATTGTTGCCTGTCACTGTTAATCTTGCTTCCTAAAGTCCAGGCTTCTGCAATTTTAGCAGGACCTAAGTAAAATGTATTTAGGTATTTATTTTCCATGGGTTTTTTTCCCAATATTTTCAAAAATAGTTCTGTCTTAGTTTTGTACACATTTTACAGGATTTGAGTGTTATGGTAGAAACTAAGCTAACTTTTCAAGTTTGTCTGTGCCACTAGTAGTATCTAAATCTATCAGATTTAAAGATTTTTGAGACTTTTTTTTATCTCCCTTTTCCTGCCCATCTCCAAGGTATTAAGAGAATACACAAGTGATGACATGAATGTTGCTCCTGGAGACAGAGTATGGGTCAGAGGATGGTTTCCCATTTTATTTGAACTTTCTTGTATCATCAATCGTTGCAAATTAGATGTTCGAACAAGGTGATGATAGTTTTTCTTTTTTGTTTAATTCGGTTAGTGAAGTGATCTTGGGTATGCATTTTAACACCTTTTCCTTTATTTGTTTGGGTTTGTTTATAGAGGCTTAACAGTGATGTTTGAAATAATGAAGAGTTATGGCCATACCTTTGAAAAGCACTGGTGGCAAGATCTATTTAGAATTGTGTTTCGGATTTTTGATAATATGAAACTCCCTGAACAACAAACAGAGGTAAAAACAAAACACAAAACCAAACAAACAGACAAAACCCCACCAAAGCAAAACAAAAAAGGCAAGCAAATGTTAGAGTTGTTTTTCTTAAGGAAAAACTCAAACAATCAAGGCAGCAGTTTGTATCGTTTGTCTTGTCGGTGTATTTCCTCCCCATCCTGTCCCAAATGTAACGTTGTTGTATTTGGCTGTATTCTGTGGATATGTATGAGGTCACTGGATAGTATGACAAGTCTATCTGTTTTGTCTGTCTGAATATTTGCAAGGAGTAATATTCACACTTTGTTGCGAAAATGTATAGTTTTCTGAACACTATTCATGCATCAACTAAATGCTTCTGACAAGACATCTGCAGTAGTGAGGCTTTTTAGTTTTACCTGAACTCTACTCCTCTCTTCAGAGGTCACGTCCTTTGCTGAATAGCTGTGCGTAAGCTGAGTGCTATCATTATAGACACACCCACATAATAAAGACTTTTCATTTTTTCTCATAGAAATCTGAATGGATGACCACCACATGCAACCATGCACTTTATGCCATTTGTGATGTATTTACGCAATTTTATGAAGCTTTAAATGAGATCCTTCTTCCTGACATACTTGCACAGTTACACTGGTGTGTAAAACAAGGTAGCTTATTTACTTGTATCTTTTGATTAATGTATCTCTTAAATGCTCATTACTTAAGAGGGAAGTTAACCAAATTTCGGAAGAATAATAACTACAACTGGGACAGTATGTTATGTAATAGGTGGATTCAGTATCTTAAATATTTGAGGATCCTTCTACTTAATTGGTTAGGCAGTTCTTCCATTAATGTGTTTATAATGTGTTTACAGTGCTGTCGTGATGGAGTAAAAACTTTTACAGAGTTGGTTGAATCTTCTGCCAACAACCTTTTTCCATTTGGCTGCATGGATGAAATACCTCGTTTATTTACACACACACACACACACACACACACACACACACACACACAAAAAATATATATATATATACACACACACACACACACATACACAACTTTCCAAAGAATGTGTTTTCTTTTGGGCTTCAACTCTTATGCCTGAAATAGTGGGGGGACTACCTTGCAGGAAGTCATAGGTTTCTAATTGGTGCTTTTCTTCCCTTTGTTTCACAGCATGCTTCCTTTCTGCTTCTCTCCTGTCCTTTGTCTTCCCTGTTTGGGTTAAAATCTCATTAAATCTATTTTTAAACTATTTTTTTCATTCAGTGCGTTCCTAAGCTTTATATTATTGTAACACACTTTATAAGTAGGCTTTAAACTAAGATACCATGCAGTTCACAATATTGGTAAAAATGTTAAATGGAGCAGTAATAGAGAATGCTTAATCTTTCATTAACATAGTAGAAGTTGATAAATATGGAACATTTATTTCACAGATAATGAGCAGTTGGCTCGATCAGGTACAAACTGCCTAGAAAACCTGGTAATACTAAACGGACAGAAATTCAGCCCTGAAGTCTGGGGCCAGACATGCAATTGTATGCTAGAAATCTTCAAAACTACTATTCCTCATGTGTAAGTTCATAAACTTAATTCTTGTACTAATACGCAATTTCAGAGCAACAATATTTACTTTTTTTTTTAACCTTGTGAAGCTTGCTGACATGGAGGCCAGCAGGAATGGAGGAAGATTCTGCTGAAAAACACTTGGTAAGAATTACTTCAGTGCAACAAACTAACTTGAAGAGTTGTGTGTTAGGTTAGTTTTCAGAATACTTTATTATAGTACATACACTTGACACCAAATGCTGGAACTGACATTATCGTGTATTTGGTGTCATTGTAAAATAGGATATCAATGTCAGATGCAGGAAGCCCTTGACTAAGTTTAGTGAAGTCATCTGAAAACTGATAGCTGGTTGGTAGTTGGCGGTTTGGATTGCTAGAACTGTTCTGCATTCTTTTCTAGGATTTAGACCTAGATCACCAGTCTTTAAGCAGCATGGATAAAAATGCTTCAGAAAGAGGACAAAGTCAATTTTCAAATCCAACAGATGAGAGCTGGAAAGGTGGTCCTTACACAAGTAAGGAAAACATGCAAGTTTATTAAATGAACTGTTATAGCCTCTCTTGGTCCATTTCTGTAGTTCTGTAGAGAAAGTTTTTGGGCACTTAAACTTGGGGTACATCTTTACAACTTGTGTGTATGCCTTGCATAGAAATCTTCTAAGATAATTCACAGCATCACTAAATATCAAAATGCTAATGGTGATGTAGTATTTTGCTTGACTGTTGTAAATGACTTGTCATAAGTTTTCTTCTGAAACTTGTGTTACTCTATTTCGTTAGACCAGAAACTGTTTGCTGGCCTCCTTATAAAGTGCGTGGTACAGCTGGAATTGATACAGACCATTGATAATATAGTGTTCTATCCAGCAACAAGCAAGAAGGAAGATGCTGAGCACATGGCTGCAGCTCAGGTACCATCAGACTTATTTATTAACATTGTTGTGGCAGTAAAGTACAAAGACTGTCAAATGCTCTGAAGTGCGTTTACAAAACAGAGTATATAGTTTTACTTTTTCTGACCCTTGGCACTATCCTGAACGTGTGTGTCATTGCTCTTAAGCTGTGATATTTTTTCCTTTTTGACTGCCTTCAGGATTGTTATGATTATATTACCATTATTCTTTTTATCAATATAGTATTATTCTTTTTATAATGAATATATACTCATCAAGAATGTATTTTGCTTGGTTTGGGGAGACCATTCTTTTCTGTTTAGCCTGAGTGTCTTCATTTAGCTGAGGCTTTGCTTAGTCTCTAGGTGTTTACACAGGAGGAGATGCAGAAGTGGAACTTCAGTAAGGTAAATAGTCAAGATTTAACTCACTACCTGCCTTGGAGTGGTCCTTGTACCTGAAAAATCTGATTGTAGGGAATAATGCAAGGTAGCTCTTGCTTGGCTACGTTAATAAAGCCCGCATCTAGAAGTCTGGGCTAGTGCATTCAGGTTGTGCTTTGGGGATGGTATCGTTAAATCCCTAATGAAATTATCTAAAAATATTGACCAATTTTAATGAGACTTGACATTAGCCAAAGATGGGAAGCTTCTATACTATGTAACGTTTAAACTTGCACTATTTTTGTAGTTCATTTTGATGTTTTTCAGAATTCAACAGACCTACTCAGTCAGCTCCTAGAGAAGAATATTGTATTGCTAGGAGGTTTTTATGCCTTGATGAAGGGAGGTTCTTCCCTTGTTCTTTTTTTTTCTTATTAATACAGGTTTTTTTCATATTCCAATTTACTGGTATATGTTCTGTGAAGTATCAAAGTCTCTTAAGTTCGTATAAGAATGTTATTGACACTCCTTCTCCTCTCTCTTCTCTATCCCTCCCCCTCATGTAGCGAGATGCATTGGATGCAGATATCCACATTGACACAGAAGACCAAGGAATGTATAAATACATGTCTTCACATCACCTTTTTAAGTTACTAGATTGTTTGCAAGAATCTCATTCATTTTCAAAAGCCTTTAATTCAAATTATGAACAGCGAACTGTATTATGGAGAGCAGGTGAGGCTTTTATTTTCAGTTTAATAAAAACATTGAGCTCCACTTAAGGTTTAGCTATGAAGATACAAAAGGATATCACTGCAATAATCTCTACAGTTAATATGACAGCATTATGTGCTTTTATTACTTGTCGCCTTCCTGATACCTTGAATAATACTGGTCAGTAAATTACCTGCTTTTTTGATTAAAACAGAGCTATACAGTTAGTGCTATGGTACTTAAATATTTTTATAAATAGATTAGGTCTCAATCAAAATCAAGGAGGAGAAAACACTATCTGGACAAGAAATCATTACTGTTAATTAGTAGAGGTATCGTTGATAAAATTTTACTTTTTGGCTCATAAATACAGATGTGAATGTTCCCTCTCTCCCTGTGCATAACTGCTTTCTAGGGTTCAAGGGTAAGTCAAAACCCAATCTCTTAAAACAAGAGACCAGCAGCTTGGCTTGTTGCCTGAGAATACTCTTTCGAATGTATGTGGATGAAAACCGCCGAGACTCCTGGGATGCCATACAACAACGGCTGCTTAGGTAAGACTACCAGCTTGGTTCAGATGCCTTTTGTTTTCAGCCAGTAAGTGCATCCCTGGATGCAAATGTCCTGTTTTAAGTTGCTGAGCAGAGCACGCAAAGGAGAGAGAGGTGACCACTCTTTATTAAAAGTTAATTTAGAAATCTGCTTGGAATAAATGAAGCACCTTCTTGCCCAACACAAGCTTTTCTTTACAGAAGTGGTGGTGTACAAATACTTTTCACATCTGAGTACATAATGATACATAGGATACAGTAATCTAAACAGAGTGCAGTATAAGATGCTCTATACCTGGAACTTAGGTAAATATAGAAAATGATGCTAAATGAATATAAGAAGGTATTGGAGTCCCCTTATTTGAAAAGTGAGTTGCTGGTACAAGAAAGTTCAGAGTACTAATCTCTAATCAAATGTGAAGAACTCTTAAACTTCCTATTGGCACTAATGCAGTGGATTTCAGTAACATTCTGATTTATCAACATCTATGGACATACTGACCTTTTTAGGGTTTAAAAAGGGAAGTTCCATTCCTCCTTTAATTAAAATAGGGCTTCCCAAAAAGCCATAGTAAGTGGTACAGTTAGTACCTTGTGTTGACTGTCTACAGCAAGGACCAAGAATTTATTAATATGGTAGTAATCCCTTTTTAATCTGTGATGCTGAGCTCTGGAGAACTTTAATAAAGTTGTCTAGATTTGACGGGAGAGCTCTTTCATGTTGCTGTTGCCTAAGCTGTCCCAGTGTAAGGATCAGGAAATAATGTTTGCAGGCTAAAGGTGACAACACTTTAATTACAGGATATTTATGGGGAATATCAGAGTCTTCCACCTCTGACTCCGTGGTTCTTTGTTGACAACATGAAAACTATTTTAAGTTCAGTTATCGGTAACAATTACTGTAACAGAAAGTTGTTGCATGTGATTGAAAACTTTCTCATGGAAATGCATCTTGCTTGAAAAACAAACACACAAAGAGGACAAAAAAATGCACATTATGAAAACTTTTTATGGGTTTTTTTTATCATTTGTCTGAACTGTTCTCTCTTTAGTGTATGCAGTGAAGCCCTGGCATATTTTATTACTGTGAACTCAGAAAGCCACAGAGAAGCTTGGACCAATCTCCTGCTGTTGCTTTTAACAAAAACATTAAAAATCAGTGATGAAAAGGTAAGAACAGGCTGGAAGTCATGTCTTGTTTGCATTCTTGTTTGCATTAAATCTGTTTAATTCAGTCTTTATTATCATCTGTATTGCAGGGTGGCTAGTTCACTTACTGACATAGCATGTACTCTCCTTGAAATACAGCAGTCATTAGATCTCCATTTTTGCAGACATTCAATATTGTAAAAATGGGACTGTATCCATGAAATTCACAGCTGTATAGAAATACTGATAGAATTACTGCAGAGCTTTCATATAAAAGAGCAATAAAGGATGAGCTTGTGCCATATTACAGCTGTACAAGAATGGTAGAGATAAATTTTACCACTGTAAAACTAGAATTCTGGTTCCTTGACAGTGATTGCAAAAAAAAAAAATTCAGGATCTCAAGGGAAAGGTGAATGCAAATACTCACTACATGAGAACATGCAGAAAAACTTCTGGAAGTTCCTTACTTCTCTTTAAACTTTCTAATACTGTTGAACTTAATCATTTTTTTAAATGTATTTTTTTCTTGCTATGTAGGTTTGTTTTCCCTCTGTATTGCAAAGTGTAATTTCACTTCACTCTTTTGTAGTTTGAAATGTTTTACTGCAATTTACCAGTATTCTAAGAAATAGGTAGTAGTGGAGAATTGACTTCTCCATGTAGCATCAATTCAGTGATGTCCCTGTGGCTATGGTGTTCTGTGAGAATAGTCTGAACTCTGTAGATGAAATGGTACCTTGGCCATTCCTTAGTACACAATCCCAGTATCTTGTTATAAAAATTCTGTGGTGTGTTCCATTAACTTTCCCTGGAGCTAATACTGAGCATTATTAGAAAAAGTGTAGAGGACAAAACATATTTCATGTTGTGTAAATTTGACACATTTGCATCTTGAATGCTGTTTGCAATTCTGATTCCCCATATCGAAAGGGGTGTAACAGAGCTGGGGGAAAGGGTTGAGAGAGTGCAACAGGAGTAAGAGATATAGACTGGCTCCCATACACAGAACTGTATGTAGGTTAGACTTTTACTCAGTTACCTTTTATCTGAAACAGAAATAAAAATGAGCGGTGCATAAAATCATTATTACTGTGAAGAGAGGGAAACAACTGATAATGGCAGAACTTAGACTGGAAGAGATGGTGAATGAGTTTTGGAGATGTCAAATCACTGGTGGGGAAGAAAACCCCAAACACATAATGGAGATAGTTCTTCACACACACTGGTTCAGCTGTGGAAGGCTTTGTTATGTATTGTGGATGATATTTTAAAGATGCTGGAGAACAAACTAAGAAATTCCTGCCAGAAGGGGATGTTTCTACAAGTAGTCCCTGACAGCACCTCTAGACTGAGAAATCCCTGAGCCACAAAATAGTCCGACTCTATTTTAGGGAAGTGAAGCTAAATGCTTGCTCTGTGTATGGTTTCCTATAGCCGTCTGCTAAAGCTGCTGTGGAAAACAGACATTGGGCTTCATGGCCCTTTGGCCATCTATGAGGGTCTTTGTTGGGTGAGATCTTGTGTTTTAACAAGTTGGTGTAGCCATGAATGTAGAAAAACTCTGTGCTGTCCTATAGTAATAGAGAATAACTTTATTTTTTCGTATCTTCTTTGATAGTTTAGGGCACATGCTTCAACATATTATCCATACTTGTGTGAAATCATGCAATTTGACCTGATTCCTGAGCTTCGAGCTGTGCTACGGAAGTTCTTCCTGCGTATAGGTGTTGTGTTCAAAATCTGTATAACAGAGGAGCAGATACGGACAACTGGGATGAACTTACCTTCATGGTAGCCAAAAGTAGAGTTGGTTACTTCGGCTTGTACATAAAGCTGTGTTCCAGAGATTAATTAAAGTGGATGAGGGGAAAAAATGGGACCCTGGTGTATCAACACAGCAGCAAGTTACTCTTACCACAATGGCATTTGGGGAGGAGGAAAAAAAAAAAAATCCTGTTCTGTCCATCCTACAAAACTATCAGCAGTTTTATTTAAATTATTGCTTACAGAGTAACACAGTAGATGTAAAGTCTCTTTGTTTCAGTGCTAGTCATCCTTATGATCAAATCTGTCTCTTCTATCAATTGTTCAGTCTTGCATCCCAGCTAAATCTGATAAATCAGCTGGATTCCTCAATAGAAATTATGCCCCTTGGAAATAATGAATATAGTTGTATAGCCTTGTGATGTTAGCACATGTGTTCATAATAAACTATACTGCAGTGGCTGATGACCACCTAAGATCATTCTGGGTTTTTCTTTGTGTGTACATGACTAGACCAGGCAGTGTGTTACCATTTTTGAAGTGGACAGCCTGTAGGATATTTGGGGAAAGGGTTTTCTTCCTGTTGAGTAAGTCCTTTTTTTTTTTTTTTTAATATCAGCGTTTTGTCTTCTGAAATTTGTTTTTATGGAAGGTTTTACATCAGGAGCACACAACAGCATCTGTTCTACTTAGCTTGTTAGTCTTGAGTTAAAGGCATTTAAAAAAAAACAAAGAAAGCTTTTAAACTTTCCATTTACTTTCATACATTACCAGATTATGGACAGAGCATATACAGTAATACTAAAAACAAGGTTCGGAACAAATAAAACTATCCTTTTCACCCTTCAGTACAATGTATTAGTAGTAATTGTGTCTGTTAACAAGAAGTCCTGTCCTTAATACATGAGGTTTTTTCTTTTTACTGAAAATCTGAAACTTCTGATTTGTCGTCTTGTGCAAATAATTATTTTCTCAACTATTAGTTCCTACTGTGATCTAAAAAAAAATTATTCCCATGAAATTGCTGTAGCAAAATTAAACAAATTCATTCATGTAAGAGTTACCAATACATATCTATGCTTTGAAGTTATCTGTGAAGCAAACATGACTTAGCACTGCAGCTTTGCTTGCCCTAGACGTTTTTCTTTCTTCAAAATGCATCAGTTTTCTCTGAGAACTGTTTCTTATGATAGAACACCAGTTTACAGTTGAAGTACTGTAGACTGAGGTCTGTCCTTTGAAGTAATGTTAATTTCAAATTTTAAGACTTTGGTAAACTTGGAAGAGTATGGCAGGATGGGAGGAGAGGTTCCACTTCCTAAAATAATGTAAACAAAGGTGTTATGTTAACTACTGTGCTATCTATAGTAGCAAACGTAAAGTATAACACAAAACAAAACAAAAACCAAACAACTTAACCTACTTGAAAGGTATTGTTTAACCTGTTATTTTGCTTTTTGAGTTTTCTGGTAGAGTGGCTTTAGTTGAGGTTGTCCTGGGATATTCCACTCAGAGGTGTTGGGATTCTTTTTTTTTTGTTTTGTTTTGTTTTCTGGCTTTTATTTTTGGGGCAGGGTGGGAGTTTTTTATTTGGGGGTTCCCCCCCCTTTTTTTTTTTTCTGTTGTTTGGTGTTCCCCCCCCTTTTTTTTTTGGTTGGTTTTCTCCTGTTTTCTTGTGAGCTATTTCCAAAGGGTTCATATGGTGCTCTTCAGTAAATTGGCTTGTTCTACATAAGCATTGTTTGAGAATGGTTTTGCAGTCAATAGTAGTGCTAAGGCTTTCACGTTTTCATTTTTACTTTTTATTTTTAACCAAAGAAAAATAAATGGTGGTTGTGGCTCTTTAACCCATTAGATTATAAATCTATACACCAGTATTTAGAAGAGAATATATATGGCTGTATTTTACAGTAAGACTGAAAAATAAGCAATGCTGATACTTGCTGCATTTGAAATGTCCTTTTGTGTTGCATTTATAGTTGCTCATTCCCTAGTACTGTCACTTCATCAATTACAGTAAAACTGAAGTATTTATTTTAACTCTATTTAAATCTGTAAGAATAGGGTATCAGTTTTTTTCTGTTCCTAGATAGTTGTGAAGAAAATATTTGAAACTTTTTATTTTTCAGATTTTGAATATGTCACTGCTTCATTGAATGTATACCTCTATCTCCTATCAAACCACAAACTTTTTTGAAGTTGCATGTTTTTCCTGTATTTTACAGTTTTGAAAGCCTTGCAACTCATATCTTGAAACAAGTCTTCTGGTTTTCAGACCTGAAATTACTTTCCAGTTGTGTTGTGGGCTTTCTTTACTGTAATGTGCAATATTTGTACTGTGTCTGCATATAGAATAAGGGCCTTTTAATCAATCCTTCCCTTCAGCCTTAGTTCTGAGACTGTTCTTTTACTTAATGCTTTCATGGTATTTATACCATTAATAAACTGCTGAAATTAGGTGTGTGACATTAAAACATCCCAGACACTGTAGTGCAAGGAGAAGGGGGGGACTGGAATGCAATTGGATTATAACAGCCTTAATCCTGTCGGTTTTCTGGAATTGATTGTACATGTTAAAGCAATAAGAATGGTATGTTAAGTGTAATACCTGAAACAGGTGTATTCACATCAGCTGTTTGGTTTTCCTTATACAGTCAGAAAGATCATAACACATAGACATCTTAAGCTAAAAATGCTGAGCCAAAACTCCTGCAGTAGTCACTGCTGGTTCCGATCTTGTCCTGACTCTGCTGACACAGACTTTGCCTGCTGTAGTGGTTTTACTGGCTTTAGTAGAACTATGAATGAGAACAAGGTTCTGTGTCAGCATATCCTGGCAGAGATTGAGACATCTGTGCAATACATGGAGTAATAAAAGGTAACCTCTTAGACTTTTAAAGTAGTGTTATGCAACAAATTAAACTATAAACTGATTTACCTATAATGGTATAAATATGGAAACTGCATGATATTTGTTATTACTCCTTATTTTGGAACCCTCTAAGAGATAGGCAGGGGGAGGATGCCGATGAGGAAAACCCTAAAACTTCATGTTAATTCTATTGTGTCTTAACAGTACAAGAAAACAGTATTTTTACAGTGATTTGTTATCTATGTCTCATCTCACTTTCTCAACTGTAAACAGAACAACCTAAAACAATGTTAATACAAGCAAACAATCCCAAATTTTAGCTCAGTCTTACTATTAAGAATGAGAAAGATAAAAAATAGTAACTTTTAGTCTGAAGTAGAACTAAGCTTTTTCTGTCAAACGTGCAGCTCCCTTTAGCACCTTTATTGTTATTTCTGTGTAAAATGTTTTCACATATTTAAAATGCCTAAGTTTTTTGAAGATCTCCATGTTAAGTGCATTTAATATCCATAATTTAAAGAGCATTCCTTGCCCAATGGATGTATACATTTTTGAGAGAATACCAAAATTATATAATATGAAAAACTATGTAAAGTTTTCTACATGAAAATACTATGTATAATACTGTTATAATACTCCATGCTTTAATCAAGTGGTAAATCAATAAAGTTTTAAGAAGTGTTGCCTGTTTTTTCGTGTGGTTTCTTGGAAGGGTCTATTCAACATGAGAATAGATCCAAGATGCTAATGCTGGAGCTTTCACTTTTAGGAGTTGCGTTTGTTTTCTGGGTTGGGTTGGTTTTCGTTTTTTTTTTTTTTTTTTAA